CTCATCTCACACTAAATCATAGAGGAGTATACCAAGAGAAAATTACATAGATTTCTCAGAGAAATCCACAGAGATATAATGTTAGGCTTTTACAAAAACAGTAGTAAAGATGAAGGTGTGGATGTAGAAGTAAATAGTAAATAAGCCTCATGATTATGTTTACTTATGTCCTGTGATACATGTAGATAGAAGTTGAGAAGAAAAAAAAGATGCAACTTTATACAATAATTAAATGTACGTATGGAATAATACAAAATTTATGTCCTTGTTCCAGAAAAGGTATTAGAAAAGGAAGTGGCTGAAGGCACGAATTCACAGTGACTTGTCCTGCAAGGAAGAGTCTTAGATTGGAGGAGAGGCAATATTAGTGCAGTTCCTTGTGAATTGCATCTGTTACCCATCTCAGGTTCATGATGATATCACAGATTTATAGAATATCCCCAGTTGGAAGGGACCCACGAGGATCATCGAGTCCAACTACTCGCACCACGTAGGTCTACCAAAAAATTCAGACTGTATAATTAAGTGCACAGTCCAAACACTTCTTAAACTGACAGGCTTGGTGCTGTGACTACGTCCCTGGGGAGCCTGTTTCAGTATGCAACCACCCTCTTGGTGAAGAACCTTTTCATGATATCCAAATAGTGTGACTGTCCCAAAAACAGATTCTAATGAAAATTAAGTGACAAAGTAGAGAGGGGTTGTGATGAGAGTCAGAATAATGTGCAAGAGGAATTGTTTTAATTTGGATACTGGACTGTTAGAATAGGCTAAAGTATGATAACACCAAGTGTAAGGATTAAAAACAAGTTTCTGTTCATAGAACAGGAGCTCATCAATTTGAAGAGATATATGTGCAAAACGATTTGGAGCTATTATGTCCTCAGAAAATGGTTGAGGACTGCTAAAAGTAATGGAACCATGAAAAAGACAAATTCAGTCCTAGGGTGCATGAGAGAAAGCAGGTCTAAGAGAAAAGGAAGTACTTGCTTCATAGAACGTATTGGTAACACCTTGCATGTTATGTATACAATTGTGATTCCTGATGTTCTGAAAAGATTTAATCTGAAAGGGAGCTTGTCCAGGATGCAGAGAATTTGCAAGTCTCTCATAGTGAAGTGCCTGTTCTATTTAGACTAGCATTTAAGTCTGAGCAAGGGTATGGCCGCTTTCTGTAGACATGTTCTGGGTACAGAATAAGACAGGAATTGCACTCTATAAACCCAGTTCATACTAGCACAAGAGAGCTCTAGTATAGATATGCTAAGTATGGATTTAGTTTGGAGATTAAAGACAGCCTTTAAGCATTAGAAGAATGAGTTTTGGAACAGCCTTCCAATAACGTGTTAAAGCAAAACATTGTTGTTGTTTTTTTTTAAGTGGAACTTAATTGGTTTATAAACAGGTTTCTGTGACAGGTTACCTGAAATGCCAGGGTGTAGATTGTGACTGAAAAAATCTTTTCTAAACTATTTACTACCTAGCTGAGATTATGAACCTGATGTTTTCATTAAACAAATGGTATTTAACCCTTCATGAAGAATACATTGTACACATTGTGAATAATATTTGCAATCTGTTTGCTTATTTGTATCAAACACTACCTGGTCATTTTAATTCTAAAAGGATTATTTCTTTAGTCTCCAGCCCTTTGTCAGAAGCACTGCCATCACATCATTGTTACATAGGAACTGGAATTGGCAATTTGGTGTTTGCTTTTTTCTTTCTCCTAAGAGCAGAACAAGTTAATATGGTTAGACTAGTGTGCTTTTCCAGGTGAAATCTTAAAAATACCAGGTTAAATAAATCTTATTAAGAAAAACTAACAATGATAAGAGCGTCCAGTCTAAGTTACATGAACGGGAAAACTTACTTTTTGAGTGTTCCACATTTAGTGATCAAAAAGTCATTGTGCTAATCCTTAACAGTGGAGTGAATTTCGTATTTCATGCTCTGAAAAAGAATTTTAGATAATTTACATGTCATTAAATATAATGGTGTATGTATTAGCTCTAATGATGCATGAGTTTTACTTCATGAGTAGTTTTTTTCTTTTCAACTTATGTAATGTACCCTTGAAACCAGGTCAATAAGTAGTTGAGCCAAAAGTACACTTGCTTAGCTTGCTTTGAACTGAGTCTAAAATAATTTGAAACTGTACGTTGCCAAGGAAAAGGCTATAATGCTATTCTAGGGCCATAATTCTGACTGGCAACCAAAAACAAGCAAAGCAGGAAGTCTCCACTCTATCACTGGATTTGTTATTGAAATCATGTTGGGAACAGTAAGTTAACAAGGACCTTTAAATCATTGACATCCTTTCACGCAAAATGATGCTATTGAGTTATTCAAGTTTCTGATTTGTAAATATCTTCTCCAGGAAGACATTATAGGGGGCAAGGTGAAGAAAGCTAGTATATAGTTTTTTCATTCATTAATTGTTTTGCTGTAGCAAAGGAACTTTGATATGTGTGCATATTATTTCTTCTGATGGCAGAGCTACACCTCAATCTTTTTTTTAAACCATTTTAATTAAGTTAGTGTTCTTTTACCGTTTCCTTTAGTAATTTTGTAAACACTGCATTCTTTCATTTGAAATAGTGGTTTTTAATCAAACCTTTCATGCTAATTTGACTACAGAATGTTTTGTACGCTTACAATGAATTGTGGCTTACAAGTGTAGTGTGAACAATTTGATTTTTAAGTCATTGAAGCAAACATTTATTTTTATGTAAATATTCTGTCTGATTTTTAATGGAATCTAAATAAATTTGTGACACTAACCACTTTTTATGTGCTGTGCATTTGCCAGTAAATACAATTTAATTTGACTTCCTTTCTCACAATATTAGTTTCCGTTCAACTGATGCATTAAAGATTGTGTATTCCTAATGATTTATAATAGCAAGTACTTATCAAAACTTTTTTACTTCATTAAATAATGCATTTTATATTGAGTTTTTATAATAAAGCTACAGGGTTAAATCAGATAGGTGATACTTTACTTTCAATTTAATTTTAACTTTTGTCATCCATTTTCTGGGTGATTGAAAGTATAGATGTAAGCATACACTTTTCCACTTAGAACTTGAACTTCAGTCCATAGGGGTTTTATATTAATTGCGCTTGCAGGTAACTGATTTAACTCCAGGCTTGCTTTGCTTACAGCAACAATCCTCTGTGGTCTGGGTATGGCCTATACTCTATATATACACTTTTTATTCGTGCTGTGATCTAAAAGATTATAGAAGAAGCCACTATTCCTAGAGGCAGTCCCACACTTTTACCACGTTAAAGCAAAATATGTATTAAGCTTTCTTAGAGATCTCTAGAAGATGATATGCTCCTAGCGTGGGAATCTGACCTTGCTTTCAAACAAAAAAAAATCTGTTCATAACTCATCTTGTCATAGATGCATTAAATGGAAAGGCCTGAGAGAGGTACTACAAAAGTTTTCCATTTCATTAGTAGCATTCAGTTTTTAAATGGTTTATCTCATGTGCCATCTTACTAGTCTTAAGTGGAAATTTTTATGCCTCTTTCAAAATTATACAAACAAAAATCTTCCAGCAAAATAACTATATTTTTTTTTGCATTTTAAAATATTTTTTACCTTTGAATTTTTCTATCTGGAAGTAAGTGCTCTGTGCATAGGTGAGTTTGAAAGTTAATGGGGAGTCTTTTCTCTAAACTTGAAATGGAGTTGAAACAAAAGAAAAATCTAAGTGAAAGGAAAAAGAAATTAAGGTGAAAGAAGGATTAAGCAGAATAATAATTTGGGAGAATGTGGGTGTGGATAGCATCTCAGAAGAAACTGGGTAGATTTCCAGCTTTGAGTATTGGAAATAGAGGTTATTTTGGAAATTGATTAAAAAAGGCATAAGGATGAAGAGGAGTGAGAAGCACTTTTGGAGATTTTGAACGTTTATCTGTTAGAGCTTAAAGTTTGTTCTGGATAAAATGAGGAGATTCTTGCAGTCATTAAGTGATGTTCACCAAGTAGAAAATGAAGAGGTGATTTTGCTTTTTTTTTTTTTTTTTTTTTTTAAGGAATGCAGTGCTTGTCGATGCAAGAAGGTATTACTTTTTAAGCGTTTTTGTACTTTTAATAATAATGCTTGTCAAACTGGGTTTAGTAGTTTTAATGCAGAAGAAACCAATTTCTAAAAATTAGATTTCTGAGCTCCAGCCTGATTTTCAGATCTGTGAGCATAACAATGCCACATAGACTTTACTTGAAATCCCCCCTCTTTTTTACTTTTTAAATTTTCAGTGTTTCTTTGTATCTGTTTCAGTAAGTGCGGTGGAAGGATAAAGAGAGAAGTTGTGTTGTCTTACAATTTTAAGCAAGAAATAAAATTTTGGCTTTACTTTCAGATGGGCATTCCAGTGGTCACTAGAAATTTTAAAGAAAGATATATAATGGGTCGTTTGTGTAGAAACTATTGCTTACAGTCTTTGCAGTGCTTGCAGTTGCTTAATTGGTGTTACAACTGCTTCTGGGCCATTCTACGTGCCAATATATTGTTAGAAATGGCAATAACAGTTTTGTTACAGGGTATTAGTCATGTTATAAGACAGTGGAGAAGAGAGTTCATAAAAGCGGGAAAAAAAGAAAATTAATTTATAATTGAATAAAACTCTTTGTTGTCGATAAAGGAGAATATGAAGTTTACCATGGAATGATGTTTGATGTATTTTAAGGTGTGAAACGACACTTTAACTGGTAAATATTTCTCTTACAAAAAGTCATGTTTATTCTGACCATTTCAAAGCCAGAATTCATGGAATATTCTTTTTGTAGTTCTGCCTGAGCTCCGTGTATTTAGTGTGCAAAGTTAAAAATGTTTTCTTTTTCTGTTTGACAGAATGTAGCAACATTTTCAGTCATTATTCCTGAATGTTAATGACAATACACTTAGCTTAATTGCAATCAAGTGTATTTTTATATACGAGAATTATAATTTCTTTCTTTTTTTTTTTTTTTTTTCTTTTCACAGAGTATACTTCAAGAATGATACAATGTTAATGCTTTCTATGTACAGCTCTGTAAGGATCTTCTCTAAGGAGTTGCAATAAGACAAACACTGAGAATAATTTTTCTCCGGTACAATGTGGTGAAGGAGAGGAACTGAAATTTGTGCACTTTTTTGTACAGGCTAAGGACTTAAAATGTTTGTTATTTCATGAGCAGAAGCAGTTCTGGAGTGAATTGAACATCTGAAAATGCGGCCATGGACTGGTTCCTGGCGTTGGATTATGCTCATCCTCTTTGCTTGGGGAACTTTACTTTTTTATATTGGTGGACACCTGGTACGAGACAGTGAGCACCCAGATCATTCTAGTCGTGAATTATCCAAGATACTTGCTAAACTTGAACGTTTAAAGCAGCAAAATGAAGACTTAAGGAGGATGGCAGAATCTCTCAGGTAGGATCTGAAAATAATTAAAACTGTTCAGAATATGGTTGTATGAAATATCAAAATTTAAAGTTTTTTTTTAACTTCACATTTAGTATATTTTAAAGTATAAGACAGTGTTTTAATCAGTGTTATACGTGGAAGTATGTTCCAAAATGTTTAAAGAAATTAAATAATGTTTTACATTTAATTTTGCTCTAACATAGAGTCATTAATTAGTGGTGTTGAAGTGCTGTTGCCACAATATCAGTCTTCTGTAGGTGACTGACTTCTCACTGTCAACAAGTGCAATTGGTATGATATTTAAACCAATTAGAACAGCTAGCAACTTTTCTGTTTCTGCACGCAGTAACTGGAAGCATTCATTTTCAAAGTGGTGAGAATTTGTTTAGTTTGTTGAAGATATATATGAACTTGTTCAAGGGGGACAAGCGCAGAAGCTTCATATGCTATAGTAGGAAACCAGAGGAGCAAAACTCAATACAATAATGTAGGGAATTGAATGGTGGTATTTTTTATTTATTTATTTTTTGATCTCTAAGTGAGCTGAATTCATTTACTTTCTCTACCACAATCACATACAGGCAATTAATAAATACATGTGTCAAAGTGGTCTGACCGGAATAACCTGGGCAGACAAGGTAGACACGGGGCACTGGCTATTGAATCCTCATTGTGTCTCCTGGGTTCTTCTTGGTTGGCAATGGGAAACTCGTTTTGGACTTGCCTTTTAATACTTTTCAGAGGCAGATACCATTTTGGGGCTTCTACCTCAGTATTTGGCTTTGCCCTTTATAAATCATTGGAAAAATCCGAATTGTACACATTTCTTCATTTTTCTTCTTTACTTGTTCTACAGTTCTAGTCCTGTTCTTTGTCTTGATATTTTATCTTCAGATCAGTTTACTTCTCCTCTTCATTTGAATGAAATCACACATTAATTCTGTAGCAGTTCAATGAATACCTTTTCTTTTAACCCTGTTCCTTTTAACTCTGTTCTGATATTTCTTCTTGTGCCTTCTCTCTTTCATGTATATCCAGGGCTATTTGATCGGCTAGGCCATGAACTGACTTCCGCATCTTACTGAAATATCTTATAATTGCACTGTGTTCCTGGGTTCTGAAATGTGCTGCATGCTGACAAGACTTCTTACCTTAGGCTCTGTGTTTTGAAAAATGTTTTGGATATGTTAGCCCTGAAGACATACCTCAGCATTCATGCAGTGCAGCACAGAGGTGCACTAATGCTGCTGACCTAAGCAAAGGTGATTTTTACCTAGAGTAATATGGCCGTGAATACCTGAGTGGGCTGTAGTTGACTAAATTCAGTTAATTAATAGATGGTAACAACTACAGTGGCCAAAAGTTAAATATTTTTATTGATGAAATGGTGTAATATAGAGTATGTTGCTGTAAAGAAACATAAGAAAGGTCCTGTATTTGAATGTATAACAACAGCCTTAAATTCATTCAATATTAGACAGTATTAGGCCACTTTAGGGTTTCTTGTCTAAGAGGGGAAATGTTTGGCCCTGAATGTAAGATTACCACTCTCATGCTTTCAGCTTCCCACCTTTGGCTGACTTGAATGAGTGGTATTGCACAGTCATTGAAATATGACCATTTCAAATTACACAGTAGCTAGGAAAGAGTAAGTGTTCTTGATTTTACAGATGGCAGGGTACTCTTTTCCTTTTAAGGAGGAGGCAGTTGATTCTGTGATGCAGACATAAAATAAAGTATATTTTAGGCAGTCACGATTTTCTTAAACACCTTTCTTTTTTTCCTTGATTTTTGTACATTCAGAAAAATACTGTATTTTCAGTGCCAATTTATAAATAGTAGTTTATACCGTAGATAATTTGCCATGATTTATATAAATAAAACCATTAGTTTATTTCTAATCTAAGCATGTTAGAACAGAACATTCCTTCTCTATACTTCAGATAATTACTGCAATTTTCTAGAATTAAAGTAGTGATCCCAAACTGTCTTAACTGGACTCAGTACAGCTTCTGTGTGAATATGCTGCTGAAAGACATTTCTGAAACCTTTCTTCCTAGTGGCTCAATGTAACCCCAGGAAAATTTGAAACTCTTGCACAAGAAAACCTGCAATGACTTTCAAGACCTATTTGAATAGCAGTACGCCTACACGTTCAGTAGTCAGTGCTGGCTAGAAATGAGCCATCCTGGGACTGGAAAGCATAGTTTTTTAAAGGAGGTGATCTGAGATTGGTGATGTACTAGACTCTGAAGGGAATAATATATCACAACGTAAAGCCTTTTAATTATTTCTGTTGTGCCATATCCACAACGTTGTTTTTGTAGAAACTTCACAAATAGGGTTGAGATATGTTTCTTGGTCATCCTTCCATATTATTAAATCATAAAAGTGATAAAGGATTTCCGTTTCTTCTTTCTATGTTTGCCAAATAGAACAAGCAGTGTTAAAAGTTGCTATTGGATTTAAAATAGCCCATTTTTAGTTTTAAATATGGCTATTTACAATGAGGCAGTAGCCAACAGACTGTGTTTTCAGTATGTGTCTGTCTGAATAGATATTAAAAATAAATAAATAAATAAAATTAGAATTAGAGAAGACAACTATTACTCTAGATATAGAATATAACATACAACAGAGTTAAGCTAACTCATGAATTTCAACATATTTGAACAGTAATTCTAGGTTAAAGTCACTAGGAATTTAAACACAAGAGTACCTAGCTGGAGCACTCTTTTATTGCTGCAGCAATAAACAGGAATCTGACTAACTTTATTAGTAAACATATTTTAACATAATTAGATAAAACTTGTCCGTGGAAAATAAGCCCCAAGTAAACTTATTTCAGTGGACAAAGAGGCTTTGTGAATGGCAAAAAACCACCATCATATCTAGCTGTGCCATTAATAATAGATAGGGGGCAATGGACAGAAAGCAAATATAAATACAAAAAATGTATAGTTTAATAAAATTAGAAGTCATTGAAACAATTTCCATTTGGAAGTTAGAAAAAAATGGTGTTTGATCTTTAATTACATGGAGACCTTACTTATATGGTAAAATACGTTTCAATGTAGCACATTTCATTTGCCCATCATTTTCCATTATCACTGATTCCTGTGGCTTCTCTGACTTCATACTCACATAATAAAAGAGCACAGTCCCCTGAGATGGTAGAAAGAAAGAGCTGGACTGTGCATGGATGACTGAATGTCATCCATGCAGGCCAGCACATGGCAACAAGAAGTGATCTTTCCACCTTGTACGCATGCAAAATCAACCTTTTAAAAGTTGAGACATGCTGTATCAATGACAAAACTTTACAAAACCTTGCTTTGCTCTCTTTTATTTTATAACTCTTAAAAATGCATTAGATCTTGTAATTTTTCCCTGGTTGCTTTTCTCCTATGTGGGATGTATAGGGTGTAGAATTAGGGTTTAGGTCAGTGAGAAGTCTGTTTTGTTTTGTTTTGTTTTCCTAACATTTGCATGTTTGATTTCATAGTGCCTTGCAATAGTGCAAGTTGGAGCAGTCCTATCTTTGAAAATTGCTTGGATTTAAGATATCGCTTTATTAATTAAGTGCTCTTTTGTATTGCACCTCTGAGGCTTCACCTCCTTTTTATAGTGCATTTGGAAAGCCTTAGGTGAGAAGTTAATGTCGTTTTTTATTTTGTTAATATGCTGCTCTTTAAAAACTTTACTTGTGATCACAGAAATATACCAGTGATGCAGAAGATACATGAAATTAAAGCTGTTTTGTATTGCCTGGATTTTAGAAGTTATGTGCATGATTTTTGCGACATAATGAGATTTAGAGAATTACCATAATCCTAACATGTTTATAAACAATATTGGCGTGAGCAAATCTGGGTTAATTTTAGAAGTAGCCTACATCTCATTAGTGCAAAATAGTAATCACATGGAGTTCTTTTCTAAATTTTACTATTCTGTTTCTAGTAGAATTGAAAGAGCCCTTCATGAACACTTACTATAGATGTCATAGGACTTGCAGCAAAAAGGGAAACCTTTACTACAAATTTTGTTTTTACTTAAAAGAGACTTGCTAAGGAGTAATAATCCAGGCAAAGTATTGCATAATGTTGTTTCATTATCATCCTGCACTGTAGTTTTACCTGAAGTTCGAATTTACAAGTAGGATTATGATAAGACTGCTGAAGACCGTTGATGTTGTGTCTATGTGATACAAGGCTTTTACAAGGAGAACTTAAAAAGATTACTTTTGTGATTTCTGATATTCTTAAATGGAAGCTGGAAAAGTTGTGTGTATGCTTTCATCTATCCCCTAGACTTCCTTTTTACAATAGATTAATGGTTCATAATATTCACATACTCCTTTGTATGTTGCTGGAAGACATTCACATTTTTATCTTACGTTGTTTGTTAGTCGTACCCTCTCCTGGCAGATATGCCTGGCAGTGTAGGAACCAGCAATTTCAGAGTTCTCTTCAGGGAAACAGAGAATCTTGTTAAATGTATTCATACTGTGTTCATATTACTAATATGTCACATTCCATTTATATTTAAGGATATATATTTACTCCCTTGAGTCTATTAAATACTAAATTTTGTGGAAAATGCAATTGTTTTAATAAGTACAATAACCTATTTCTTATCTGAATAGGAGAAAGTGTTACAAAGTGGAATGGGAGTGAAAAAGGGCAAAATGTAGTTTAAAAAAAAAAAAACACAACAAAAAACAAGTACTGGTATATCTAGACACTATTTTCATATTTTGGAGTGTAGCTTCAGAGCAAAGAATTACAATATATTGATTTTGAAAGAGCAGCATGACTGCTTTAACGTTGTCGGAGCTGAGGCTGGGACAGAATCCAACCTCAGGATCAATTAATCACATGCAAATCTATTAAAGCACTTCTGTCAATTACTCTGAGCAGTTTTGGGCCCAATAAGCCTGTAGAACCTGGTAAGCATTTAAAGGTACTTGGATACAAGAATTTGTTTAGGTTGACAAAATTTAAAATATTATTTTAAAATATTTTCTATTAACTCTATTTAAGTGTCTCATGTTCAAAGCTGAGGTCATCTCACAGGGCCAAGGAGTGAAGGAGAAAATAATTGTCTTATGTGGTATGCATCTCTGGTCTTTTTATTTTGTTTTATTTTGTTTTATTTTATTTTATTTTATTTTATTTTATTTTATTTTATTTTATTTTATTTTATTTTATTTATTTTTGGTGCAATTCTGAACTAAGGGAAGGGACACATCTTCAGGGGATTTAAATCAGCACTGATCAGGGCCATGCTGATTTAAATTGACTAGGGAGCCTGTTCACTCTTTATTTGCAGGTAACCTTGAATATTTTCTTTCAGTTTTATTTATTGAGGATGTTTTTATCTTAGAAGGGTGAAGTGACAGCTTAAATTCCCTTTGTTTGTTTGTGTGTGTTAGTAGTCATTAATAATCAAACATAATTTCCTTCTTGTAGAAAGAAGAAATGCCAAACATAACATGGATTTAGTTATTTATAGGCCTTCCAGTGCCACACAAAGAACTCACAAAGATATAAATAAAAGAATGAGAAAATGTGTGAGCTTTTGAAATCTTACATTTTTCCTTTTGCTGGTAAATTAATGTAAACTTTTAACTACATAAGAAATAGAAAAAGATTAACATTTTTGTAATTATTGGATCAAATTTATTTACAAGCATTTTAGAAAATATGGCAGTTAAATTGGAAGTCACTACATTACATTGCTGAGTGCTTCTTTTTGCTTTCAGAGACTCAGGTTAGAGATGCTACTTTACCATTGTCCCTCTGTTACATAAGGTGATGAGAAAATGGCCTCAGTGATATGGCTAGTGTACACAGGTTTCTTTTTTCTGTCTTGGAGTGCAGCTGGGTTAGTAAGCAAGGGCAAAGCAGAAACTGTTTACCTTTGTAACAATTCCTCTGATATTGAAAGCTATACAGCAATATTTTTATTTGCTATGAGTTTATTATGAAAAAGATCATTTGTATTTACTTCAAAATGGTGGGAAGCGGTATGCAAAAATCACAACTTGTAAGTACTGAGAAAAATAATTCAAACAGAACTGCTATTTGATGTACTATCATGGCTGCCCATGTGAGTGGTTTATAAATCTGTTTATTTTGTATTTATAACTTAATTTACAATGTTATTATAGCAATAAATGAAGGGCATTTGCTAGAAGCTTTCTGACATGTTCTTTTATTGTTGTAATGAACAGTCATAATTTAGATTAACTCACTTTAAACTCAAATCTCAAAAGTTAAGGAGAAAGTCAGTTGTCAGGGTGGATTTTGGTATGAAAACTTATGCATATGTTTTTCAACAGGAGTTCTTATGAATAAGTGTGTGTTATTCATAGGACTGTCTGCACTAGAAGTTATCTGCATAGATGCCATGAGTATAGATAAGGATTGCAATTCAAACACTTTTCCCTCAAATGTTGCCTTATCTCCAACTCAGTAGATGTACTTGTAGAGGGCAGTAACAAGAAAGCTGAGCTCGTTGCAGAGAAGAACCTTTTCCTTAATTTTGAGACTGGATGAAAGTGAGGAAGACAGCAATTCCAAGTCTGATGAGGTAACAGATTAAGAGATGAAACTTAAAAAAAAAAAAAAGTTATTTTAGTTTTATCCTAAAATGATGTAATTTTTTAAAAATCCAAACAACTAGTTTAGGAGAATCCCTCCCTGCTGCCATCTTAGCTTTTTTTATCTGACAACATAAGTATTGTAAACATTTTTATTGCAGTATGCCAAAGCAAGTTGAAATTTAAATGGCATATAATTTTCTTCTTTAAAATTTTAATTATATCAGATAACCACAGTTACTGTGCTTCTTTCATATTATCCATCCATCTGTAGGATCTAATTGCTACTTTAGCAGACTGACTTTATGTTCAGAGGATTTATAGGCTGTCTGAAGATTTCCTGTGGTAACAATTTTGTACCATTTACCTTAACATTCTTCACAAATTCTACATTTAGGGAATTGAAATTATACGAGATAAGCCATTCCTTTTTTCCTTGAAACTTTGCAGTAATTTTGTGGTTAGGTGTCCTATCACAATCCAAAGTGTGATACCAACTTGGTGGATCATAAATAGATTTCGATCTTGTAGTTTTAAACTACTGAAAGAACTTAAATAAGTTTCAGTATGTTTTTAAGGGTTGATTTGTATTGTTTTGTGCATGGCAATACAGTATCATAACTTGGTATAGTATCTTACTATGTATTTGCTTTAGAATCAAATTTACGAATGTGTGGTCTTTGCCTGTTCATTCAGGAGGAGTATATTTTGGGAGTACACATATTTCAGCTTAGAATATTTTCTCTAGTTTTGTCATGCTTGCTTCCTCAGTGCATAAAAATACAGATATATGATCAGTTACTGATCACTCCTTTTTATTTACCATGGTAGAATGAACGGTGAGAGCTTTAAAACCCAAACAAATATCTTGCACTCATTTAATTTGCTTCTAATATGGAGTTTTGATTGTAGATTTTTTAATATAAATTTGTCAGATTGCATAACCTTCTTTTTTACCTTTCCCTCCCTACTCTGAAAAAAGGGCATTAATGCTATGCTTCGTTTTATATACCCTTCTGACGCTCACATTAGATATTTATCCCTTTCAAACATTTAAGTGATAATGGATTTTTCATCAGCACCAAAATTTATGTTGATATTTAACTATCCAGATCTGACAGACATTAAAGTTAATGACAACCTCCTAAAGATCCTACTGAAATGCAATTTCAGCTTTAGGGTGAAGATACTCCCTCTGGCACTTATTTTCTCTATGCTAGAGGCATCTTTGATCTGGCAAAGGATCTCCCCTTTTTGCGTCTTGAAACTCTGAGTATATGTGTGTAGAGAGAATCTCTCTTTATGATCATATACTATTGTGTTTGTGATGAATGAAGAACTATCTTCATGTTCTCTAAGAATTCTGTATTCCTCATAGTTCTAGGAACTTTTCATTACATATCTGCTTCCTCTTTTTCTATGCAAGATCAGCTCTTTAAAAAATCTTTCAAAAAGCTGGAATAATTTTTATCCCTCAGGTCCACCAGAAATTTCATTTTTGCATAGACAAAAGGGTTTATGTTTTTCCCTCCATTCATTTTTAATTCACGAGGTAAATAGAAGGTGGTATCTAATTTTTATTCCTCAACAGTTTCAGTTTATTAATTTGTGGATTCAATTTGAGATGATAAGCAAATCCCTGTAATACCCTCAGGGCTGATTGGTGGCTTACAGGTTTTAGGATAAGTATTTCCATGCTTCTCCTGTGCTCATATACCAGAAATTTCACAAATGGCTGTCACATTTTTTAGTATTGTTTCAGATCACCAGCACTTGAGATTACTAGAATTGTCAAGAAAAATTATCACAATGATGCATTTGAGAAGCGAGGATCTTGCACTGAGTCCAAAAAAATACATTGAAATCATCTTGTGATTATATGTGGGAAGACTAACTTAAAAGGCAGAGTTGCAGTGTTGGAACCCTGGTTCTCTAGCAATACATAGCCAGCATAACAGACTAGAATGATCTTCCTGTGTGAAAATAATAAGTACCCAGAACTTGAATCTTGTAAAGGAACACCCCTCAATTAAGCTTTGCTTGTGTACCAGTCAGTCTAGCAAATGGTCATGTTTATCCTGTTTCTTACAGGAGAAAAGTTGAGCTGCTGCAAATACTGCTTTCATAGGTAGGGCCTAGGATTGTTATCCTCAGTAAGGGGAAGCCTTGTAAACAGCGTAACACTAGGCTGAATCTATGCACTATGTTATATACTTTTTCCTGTGAATCCAAGGTTTTAAAATCTTAATTTATGTTAATATATTTAATTTCTTCTGGTTTAAAAAAATGCCAAGAACTTTATCAGCAAAACAGCATCGAACAAAATGGGAGGAGAGCTGAATTGTTCACACAGATAATTTAGCAAATATCACTTACATTTATAAATCATATAATTTCTTTATTTTCTGTATCCTAGGATACCAGATGGTCCCATTGATCAGGGACCAGCTGCAGGAAAGGTACATGCTTTAGAGGAGCAACTTTTAAAGGCCAAAGAACAGATAGAAAACTATAAGAAGCGGCCAGGAGATGGTTGGTAGATACATTTTCTTTTACTTCTCAAATTAGTTTTGGCATTGCATATCTAATGTATTAGTACTAATTACTAATGTATTCATTAAAAAAAAAAAGCACTACAAATACTGATGCTTTTATGTTTCTTCCTTTTTTTAATTTTAATTTTAACAGGAGGCCTTGGAAAAGATCATGAAATACTGAGGAGAAGGATTGAAAATGGGGCTAAAGAACTTTGGTTTTTCCTCCAGAGTGAATTAAAGAAGTTAAAAAAACTAGAAGGAAGTGAACTGCAAAGACGCATTGATGAATTTCTGTCTGATCTGGGTCATCAGGAAAGGTATTTGTATTAGTTGCTTCTGCATTTATATTGGAAGGACTGTGGATTGACTTAAGTAAGTAAAATACTGATGTATTGCTTTAAAAATTTCGTAGGATAAATTACTGGTGTGATATTACTGGCTAAAATAGCATGTCTGAAGCATGAAAATAAAATTATAACTTTATTTAATGGGATATAAATTATATATTCAGCTTATGTCACTGTAGCTTAGAGTATGGCCCTTTAACTTGATATTTGTTTTTTAATTGGAAGACTTGTGTCTCAGAATGCCAGTTGTAGCTTTTCAATTGCATCTATCTGTATGTATACATGTACGTGTATTTGAACATACAGCAAAACCATGAGAAAACGTTCAAAATATTTCTTTTTGATATTATAAAAATCACATCATATAGTATCTGATTATAAATACTAGAATATAAGTTCCATTGATTGTGGGGATATTATATAATTAAAATTACTTTAAAATTTGGTGAGATCTTAATTTCAGGACTAATTGTCATTCTGAAAAGTCACTTTTCCCCTTAATTAAAACTTAACAGAGAATATATCAAATAGAAATTACCTTTGCTTAAGTTTTCATTATTATGTTGGAATTGTATTTTCAGTTGTTGATATTTGGCCTCCACATTGTTGATATACCTTTTGTTGAAATATCATTGTTGAAATACCTAAAACATTCGCTGTAAGTCTTGTTCATGCTCAACAAAATTATTTCAAGAAGTGTCAAAAATTAAGTAAGATCTCTGTAAGCCTATTATATTTAAAATGTTATGTTCCCAACAGGATTTCAGTGGCAATTTCTGTCTTGTTAGTAAATAGTTAACTCCAAAATTTTCTTTTGACTAAATATACCACCTTAAACAAGTATCTCTCCCCCAAAATCTGATGATCTGCATGTTTGAACATTGGTAGTAAAGCATGAGCCTTTGAAAATATTACTGTAGTAAAAGGAAAACCTGGTAAGAAATTTTTGGAAGTCATGTAAACAATATTAAAAAAAGAAAAGTTTAAAAATATGAGTTTGATCATTAGTGTGGGCAAAGACTTCAATCTATTTAATTTTGTAATTTAATCTTTCAAACCCCAGAATGTCACAGATTGATGGAGTTTAAAGTGAGAAGGGACCATTCAATTATCTAGAGTTATTATCTGTATAAAATAGGCCATTATGTTTCATTTAATTATTTCTCTGCTGAGTGCAATAATGCATGTTTGACTGAAGTAGTGCTTGGCCAAGCAGTATTTTCTGAAAAACCTCAGATCTTCCATTGAACAGTCAACCAACAGAGAAGCTGCCACATCCTTATGGTTTCAATAGTTATTTCTACTCAGAAATGTTTGCTTGCCTCCAGAGAAGTTATTTTCTCTTAGGTTCATGGGCTGCAGGTCATTGATTTTTGACATATCATTTAAACTGTGTGTGCTGAAACTGGAGCACATTGTATTGCAAACTTACTGATATCCATCATGGGGACCAAATCACTGCTGTACACATTACTGATGTGTTTATATACTCTAGATTGCAGCAGGCAGTAGCGACAGTGGAATCTTGAATATTGTTTTGATGCCAGAATATTTTTATGTCCCTACCTCCCAGGATGAATTTTTCTCTTACTCCTTTCCTTCCAGCACCGATGACTATTAATTCATTAAGACCAACTTTCAAGTTATCTTTATTTATGTCTGACAGCCTTATCTTCATATCCATCTTTACTTAAGGATGAGATGAAACTCCTGGTAGAAACACACTTCTTTACACTGAATATTAAAATTGTACATTGTAGACTTCTCAAAGTTTTAAGTCCCACCAAAGAAGTCTGTGTTACTTGAAGAAGTTTGTATATGTGGTACAGTGAATAACAGCTGTGCTTTTTTTTTTTTAAACAATTTTCTTGTTGAATAAGATCAGTCTTTACATGGTGTTTATCAAAAGAAGAATATCATGGAGTCTGTTGAGTCTTAGAAGCAGATCTGTGTAGAATTTCCTGTGTAGTGAGGTCCCCAAAGAATTCTGATGTTTTTTAAGTGAAAACCAAACAGCCAGACACTGTTTCAAAGATAAATAAATAAAGTGTAGACTAATTTTTTGAAATATGGAAATTCAAAACAACTGTAAGAGAAAATATACAAAAATGTTCCTACAGTATTCAGTCTGTGTACTTGGTGTATTTGCAACATTGGCTTCAGGTAGAAAAAAGATCTTGTGCTGCAGAACGCACCTCTTGGTTGCATCTATTCCTTAGAAAGTTCATTCTTTCACTTTTGAAGTCTGTCTCCCCCTTTCATTTTAGTCTCAGTCTTTCCTAAGCTACAGGAAGATTCCTGGCGCCTTGTGTGCACATCTTTCAGCCTGTGAAGCAATGCTGTTTACGGGATGTCCTTTTTCCTTAGGATGCACTGTAGCTAGCCAGTCTCTTTTTCCCTACACACAGTCCATATGATCTTTTTCCTAAAAAGGAATGTAAATTTACAACAAGCAAGTCAGATGCTGTCACTCACTCTGAGATTCACTGGAATTTGGCTGTTTTGGTAATTGCTGATTGAAAATATTATTGCCTCTATATCTGAGATAAATGAAATACTGTATGTTAAGCTGGTATTACTATATTTATATATGTACATAAATTTACTTACATATTTTGTAACATATAATCTAATTTGGGTTAGAAAGCTTAGGGTTAAGTGTAAGTACTTAGGGCAGTTTCTAGTGTCTTCATTATGTGGGAAAGTGGATACAGGGGTAGGAATTCATGCAGTGACAAGATAGCTGTCTAAGCAAAGCAGCTGATTTTTCTAGTTGCTTGTGAGGAAAACTTTTGTCATATTAAAAACTTGCTTGCTTTTAGAGATGATAGACTTAAAGACAGTTTCTGTGTCTCCAGCTAAGTAGTATTGGAGTTCTTTGGTAACCTTAGTGGTGTTGTGCAAATGGTCTGTTGATAGCATGATAGCACTTCTGTCTGATACCTTAAATGCTATTTCTTGGCTCTACCCTAGGGGTTGTGTAGATTTTCTCACTAAGGGTGCTGGTCTTGATAGATGTTTTAACTAGTATTTCAGTACTTAGTCTGTTTCAAAAACAACGTAGTCCAGTGCAGAGTTTCCTGTGTTGGAATATGTAATTATATTATTGTAGTTGCCATAGGGAAGAGGGTCTTTGAGAGTAGCTTCATCTTAACAGTGGAAAGACTATTTGATACAGAGTTTACAAAAAAGAAGAGATTAATCTACTAGTTGCCATGACTGTGTCCTATGTTGGCTTTCTGTTGTTTGCCAAGTGGCTGTTACCATGTTTCATTCCTTCTCATCCTGTTGAACAGTTGTCATCATTGTATTTGTGGTAGCTGGCCAAGGTTTGATGCATAGTGTTGGGCATATTTTCACATTATTTCAGTTTGGTGGAACATCTAACATCTTTTTTCCTCTGAGTTTTTACTTATTGATGTACAGCAGTGTCTAGGATATTTATACGTGATTTTGCCATGTGGATAGAACAAATGTCTAGACTTTAAAAACATGATAAAAATGACCCCTCACCTCCCCGCTTTTTTTTTTTTTTTTTTTTTGGGGGGGGACAATCAAATGCAGATGAAATACAGAGCCAGATTCCTTACTCCATTCTGCTTTCTAGGAGCAAAATGTTTCCAGAGCAGCTCCAAGATTTAGTTTATGATATGAAACAAAAATAGCAACAACCAGTTGATATTGTTGGTTAGTAACACAATGAGACTACATTTGACTTAATAAGGATCTACGAGTCCAATATCTGAAATTCTTTCTGCCACTTTGCCACCCGCAATATCCTCTAATAATCCTATTCAGGCTCATCTTTCGTTTGCACTTAGCTATCTCAGGCTAAGTGATCACCAGTCCCCCTACTTTGTCTCTCTATATGGAGCCCAGCCCTGATCTTTGATATTTGTCCATGTCTTTTATAAATCTGTCTTATTAAGCTATTGTGGTGGTCTGCTGCACGCAAAAGAATGTAGCAGAATTAAATCTAAAGAATGCACGTTTCCTAGCAAGAGCAATCAAAGAAAGGAGGTGTCCATGACTGTATGTTAAATCTGCAGTAACCTATCGTCATGTCTGTGTGGTAACATGTGAATTTCTTGTTCCTGGTTTACTTCAGAGTTTTACAGAGTAAATATTTTTTTAACAAAGGATTGTGAGTACTTTCTGAAACCTCTTGCATGAATTCATAAGATAAAGTTTCATGGTCTCAAGATAGTATTGACTGCCTGTTGACCACAGTAAAGTGACTACATTCAAAGAGCATCTTCTCTAGTATCCACAAGAATGATTCAGGATGTTTTTTCTAGCCCATCACCTGTTTAATGCTATAATTACCTATTGTTAGGGAACATATGTTAAATGGAGGACACAGTCTTTCTCGGTTGCTGCTTGGATTGTAGGGTGGGAGGTGACATGAAGAAACTGGTTTTGAGGCTATCATTGGAATAACCGTTTCATTTTTCTTTGATTTCATGTATTCCTTCAATGTTAGGATTGTTTCCTATTTTCTAAAGATTGTTTCCCATTGTTGTTTATAGGTCAATAATGACGGACTTGTACTACCTCAGTCAAACAGATGGAGCAGGAGATTGGCGGGAAAAAGAGGCCAAAGATCTAACAGATCTGGTACAGAGGAGAATAACTTACCTACAGGTAGGAACAATACAGCTTTTAAATCAAGGGAAATTAATTCAAAAAAAAATAACATTTTTTTTGATAGAAGTTGTATCTTTTTAACAGAATAATTACACAATAATTTTAAGTGAATATTTATATATGAATGAATTGAATACAATAGAAATAAGAACATTTGTTTTGAGAATTATTTTATGCATATGTGGAATAGTAGTATTTCAGGCAAGAGAGGATAATAAGAAACAGCTATTTACAGTTCTATTTGTAACTGGCCAGAAGTATATCTGTGCTGTGTTTTTTTTTTTTTTTCTTTTTTCTGTATCCATGGTTTCCACTTGGTTGTACTTTTCTGTTTGGATTCTTTATTTTATTACAAAAGTTAAATCTTTGCTTTGTATCTACATCTGTTAGAGTATAAGAACGTATATATGTTCATAGTGTTAAAAATAAAACATGAAAGTCTTCATATGCAAATTCTGAGCAAGCAGCCCACTCTGAGGAATGAGTACACAAAATTGAAGTGCTTGTATAGAATGCTGTACAGTCCTAGTCTGTTTCAAAAATTGTGTACTCACAGGTACTCATAATATTTGAGCTCATAAAGCCTTTTTAGTGTATATATATATGCCTTGTGTATGTCTATAAGATTTAGACAAAACTTAAATGCTTACCTTATTTTCTAGTGAAATTGAAATAAAATTACCTACAAACTGCTGAAAGCCCAATTAGATCTTCCTAAAATTTCTTTAGGTATGTACAGTATATAACAAAGGGCTTTCCTTCATGTAGAGGTGACTTGTTTAATAAAAAAGTAAAAACAGTACTAAGAGTGAAACCAATGCCAATTCACAACAAATGCAGAATACTAAATAATATTTTGTATTTGTAGCAAAACTAGTAAAAGACTTTCAGAAAGTATATTATGTCACGAAGTACTTCTGAGAAGGGTAAGTGTTTTTATCTCATTACATTGAGAGGAAAACCTGATAATCACAATGATTAGGTGATTTATAGAAAGTTGTGGCATTAGGTTCAGAATTTGAATTGGGTCTAATATACTTGGGTCAATTTCCATCATGCAGGCTGTTTTCATTTCTCTGTTTCTTTTACAAATTAGTTAAAAAGGAATCAATCCTAATATTTCTCACATGGGAAGAACTGAACATTTTTTCATATTTGTTCATGTATTTAAAATATAAAATTAAGCATTATAGGTTCATCCTGTAGCACAGAGAAGCATATAATAAAGTGTTTTCCTTCTTCTCTCATTTTTTTTTCTTCAGCTTCTGTATTACAGAAGGAATTATGCTGTTTTTTTGTTTTTTATTAGCTCGTGACCAGTAGATGATAGAGATTAAGAACATTGTATTGAAGCTGTACATCAGATCCAAATTTTATGCAGCCATCTTACATGGAAGGATCTAGAAAGGGCATGTGTTTTCTTAATACTTGTCTTTGAGATTTAAATTGAAAATGGTAGTATGTGTTTTCCAACAAATGTAGCTATAACTTTGATAAAGGTTGATATTTTTAGCAAATCAAAAGGTCATTAAAAAAATCACTATTTTTGTGCTTCAAAAATAAGCAGCAACACATTAAAACAAATTAAATGGATGTTTTATGAACAGGTATTAATACCCTGTTGTTTTTTTTTCGTTTGTTTGTTTTGTCATTCTCATATATAATTACTGTCATCTCTCTTTGCCTTTTTATCTTTATTCCTCTGACTGAAAAAAAAAATAAAAAAGAACTCTTGCCTACATGCCTATACACCAAGCTGGACATAAGCTTTTGGAGCTCTTCTAAAGCTTAAAATATCTCTTGTCTTGACTGATTGATGATTCAAAACTGGAATGTGGCTGTGACTATGTTTTGAAGACTAATTGATGTGTTTTCTAGTAGTTATGTTTAAAAATACATTTGTGGATTTCAGCAATTTGAAGAGTGTAGTGCTGACTGTGAGTAAGCAATGTAAAGCTGTCCATGGTCTGAAACTACAGATATGCACCTCTATTCATAAAATAACCGTGTATAAAACACAAAACAAAACAAAAAACAACCTTCCCAGCTCCATACCAAAAACTCTGATGTGAAACATCCAAGTAATATTGGGGTGGGGGGGGGGTGGAAAATAATAGTACAGCATGGTTTCTTGCTGGGACATGTTGAACCATGATAGCTGCATTATTTTGGGACGTCTCCCTGGGAAATCATTCAGCTGAATGATTGTGCATAGTGATGACTGCTACTTCATTTGGATGGTATTATCATAAATTTGATTTAATGAGGCTACATTTAGCTTGTTCCCTGTAGTTAGAGCAACACTTAAAAGGCTAGGAGCTTACGTTTAAGCAAAAGACTGTACATTCAGAGATGAGTATGAAGAGAAGTCTGATGTTTAAATCGTCAGACAAGGGCTCCAATAGTACTGTGTAGTATAGTACTCTATTCTAGAAGTAGGATAGAGCGAGAAAATGATAAAAAAGGGGATAGTTTGCTTTTTTGCTCTTTCCTTTTTTTGTTTTATGTATTTTAGGGATTTTATGATTCACCGTGCCATCTTCCAATAGCAGAATATTTTTTGCTTTTAATTAAATAAAAAACGCAAATCTGGCATTTTGTTCAAATTTTGAGGTTAAAAATATTAGCCAGGTAAAAAAAATGTTATTAAAGTAGACAGTAACAGCATAGTCCACCATAGTCATACTAATTGGTTGGGGTGGTGTATGTATACATAAGAGAGACTTCATTCAAAGGTGTCTGCATTTACCAGTGTTTTTGTTTATTTAATCTGTAACTTTTTTTTTTCTGTCTTAAAAAAAGTGTATTAAATTTTCTCTCTTCTCATCCCTCCCCCCATTAAAGTTAATAATAGGTGTTTTTAATAAAAGCAATTATTTTGATTATTTTGATTGCACATCTCTGGCAAAAATTTTTTTGCCAATATAAAAACTAAATTTTTTTGTAAACAGTTTCATTGTGTATTGAACAGTCTTTACAGTTTGATATTGCAAGTTCATCTTGTTTTTTTTCAGTTCTTCTCCCATCTTTGTCAGATCATTGAATTAATTGCACAGCAATGGAAGAGAGGACTTGATTCCTTCCCTAAAAGACTAGAAAAAAACAAACAAACAAACAAACAAAAAAACATAAGCAAATGAATGAATCCAAGCATTTTAAAAGTTAATCTTTCTGGGCAAAATAGAAAGACTTAGAAACAAAACAAAATAATTAAAGAGGAAAAGCAGATGGCAAGGCAATTTTTCTGACTTTTTTTGTGAAGGTATAAAAAGGAATTGAGTTCGTTCTATCATTTCCATACTTTAAAGAAAATGTAAAAATGATTTGAGTATTTCTTGAGACATGTCTTGTGTCACCTTCATTAAATTTTTAGTAAATTCAGTTTCTGTAAGTATGGTATTAGGGTAATAACCTGTTTACAAAGTGCAGTCACTGCTGATACCTACAGAAAGTTTTATTCTAGAATTTGTATATAGTGCATTGAGGAGCTTCATGTGTAGCCCACCTCCATGCTGCAATGTTTTTCTTGTGAAGTGTGTTTATTGTAGGAGTATAGGTGTGAGTTAGAGGAATTAACATTAGAGGCAGATAAGGCTAACTCTCTTTCCCTACAGCGTGGTAGTAATAACATGTAAAATCCAATTCATACTGTTTCTGATTAGCAAAGGAAGAAAACTCCCCACCAATACTGAAGGGGGGAGGTAGTATGAAAAGAACCCATTACCCATTGAAAGTACCTTCATAAAGAAGGGGGAATACAAGATTGTGTGAATTGTGTTTGTGGTAACTAGGATGAGGAAGACCTTTCCTTGACATCATTCTCTCAAAAACTGGGATTTTCCACAAAATCTGGGTGGGACTGTCTCCTCCATGAGACTGTGTAGCATTAAGTAATAAAGTATTTATTGAAAATATAAAAATCAACACCTTTTTTTAATTAACATTATTGTATTTATAAGGTTACCTTGTGATTTGTAGCAGACTGCTCGCCCACTCCATTCTTAACTATCCTGATTCATTAGATGATAATGCATTTTTCTAAACACTTAACATCTACAAACAAAACAGTCCTTTTTCTTAGTAAAATATATGGTAAATAGCAGTGTTTACTTGTGCTAGTTTGTCATGTATTTTGGTGGCTAACTGCCCACTTGAAAACAGTAGATGGTTATGAGGCGTTTAAGCATTACTTCTGACATCTTTCCCATCTGATCCTGATGGCTCTGTGAATATGCTAATTAAAAGACCCCTGGAGAAGGAGGCTCTTTGAGCAACAAGAGAAGTGGGAGATGGGAAATAGTCCCAAGCCTATTTTTACTCTAGTCAAACAATGACAGGGAACATTCCCAGACACTGGAACATAATATTCTATACTCTTAAATAGTTAGAACAGCTCCTGGCATGCTTTCGACTCATATGAAGTAGTTTTCTCCCAAATAGTTTTTTGGCTGTGCTTCAAAGTTAGCATGAGACACTTTTTATAAATTTGCTGTGTGTGTCTACCCTTTTCTAAGAGATTTAGAGAGTTTAATAACATGGGTGCAGCACATTCTATGCCAGCCAGAATAAGTATCAAGCACATTTGATTTCCCGGTATAGGTATAGCGTTTCAGATTATCACGTTTCTAACAGTTTTGACTTTATTTGACTTTTGCCGCTACTATTGTATGGAAATACATAGTAGCAGATTTCCAGATATAGATTCCAGAATACAGATTTCCATCTGAATGGAAAAATAGCAGAAAATCTAGTTTTGGAGCCACATGTTACATGAAGAAAGTACTGTTGTGTTTCACCATCTTTGAGTGGTTTACAAATTTAGTGGACCATGGCTTTGTTTTATTCAAGAGTCACTCCCTGGGAATAAGAAACAATAATTGAAATCATGACATGAATAATTTGTTTGGGTGCATTAGATCTATTTAGTCTTTTGATTTATTTAGAATATATGTGACTAGAAATATGGTCTGCTCTCATCATTCGTGCTGGTGGTTCCACATAAAATATTGCTATTTGTTTAAGGGAAGAGTAAATACCCACTCAGTAGTGAGTATTTCCCACTATAGGTATAATCTCCCTCCAAACATTTTCCATGTTTTCTCTTTTTTTTTTTTTTTTTTTTTTCAACACCAGTTTACATTATTACTTTCCAGGATTTCAGTCTTTCTCTCTCCCTCTCTCTTTTCGGTTTTAATTAGAGCTAGAAAATTGAGAAAAAGATCTTGTATTTTAAGTCATTTATTTAAGATGGCTGGTTTTAATACCATGAGCATTCTAAACACTTTGAGACTAACAGATGCAGAAGAATCTCATGCTATTAGGTAATAATCCAGTCATGGTATTTCTTACTGGATAAGAGAACTGCAGATTACAGTCATCTGCACTGAATTATGAGTTATGTACGTGAGGGAAGGCAGTCATCAGTGCAGATACACGTATACAGTTGACCTGATACCACTGAGTAACAGGATCTTGGAGTTACCGCAGGTAATTCTATGAATTCTATTTCCATGCTCAACAGTATTTAACAGTGCATCTACAGCAAGGATGTGCTGTGCAGTTCTAGCTCCTTAGTGTCAGGAAGGATATAATAAAACCAGAAAAACATGAAGAGGAAAGAAACAAGGATGATCTAATATATGAAACTGTCAACTCTGAGAACTAAGACTAATAGGTGAAGATTTCAGTCAAAGAGAACTGAGACGGGCATGTGACACACAGAGGTCTACAAAATCTTGATTACTATGGAGAAAGCAAGTAGGGAACCAGAGTCTGGTCTTTTCAGAAGACATATTACAGTTAAAATTAATAAATATTCAGAGCAGTCAGTCATAATAGTGTGGAATCTGCTTCAGTTTCTTTATTCTTCTTGTAAAGATGTATAGTGTCAGCATTTCTCTGGTGAACCATAGATACTAAAAATAACTTTTAAATAATTTTATTTAGAGGCTTATGGTTCCTGTTTGGTATATCTCAGCTAAAATAATTTTTAGATAGATGTAGAGGAGCCATTTTAAATAAGTCATATGAAGAGAAAGTAGCTACCTAAGTCAGTTATTTAAAAGAAGACATTCAAGGTTATTCTTTGAAACAGGCAAACCAATGAACATTAATTGAATCCAAGAATAAACACCACTCTGAGCACTAATGCAGTTTTGTAGATCTGCAATGTAATAGGCGATTTGCCAGCTGCAATAAAGAGATTTCAGCCAGACTTCTGTATCTCATTTCTATGTAACTACCTTTCTATGGCCCGTGTACCTCCTTACAAAGTTTGTTAAGTACTAAGAAAAAATTAGGGTGTTAGATTTCTCGCAGAGGAAACCTGAATGTGCTACTTGCCTTGTAACCTAGACAGGCAAGGTCATTTGCAGCCTAAAGGACTGTATAACTTATTAGGGGAAGAAGGAGTTGGAAACTGCCAATGCCTAAAAGGTAGAAAATAATTGCATATTTCCCTATTTGGGTGAGTTCAGCTGTATCCATTTAGTGGACACCTTCACCACCACCCCTGATGTTAAATGAAAAACTGAAATGCTGAAGTAACAGAGTAGTTTTTGTTTGTTTGTTGATTTTCGGATCAGAGGTGTTCTCCCCTCCTTTACACATATGAATCCACAAGTTATGTTTTTTTAAGTGTTTTACAACTTAGACTATTCACAGTATGTTTAAGGTCTTAGTTCTCCAGAAGGTGTTTGCTGGATTTTTGAAAGATCTGATTTGTTCAAAGCTTGAATTATAGAAAATTTCATTTAAAGTCAGTTAGATATGAGAGAGTTTATATTCATGCTTAGATATCAGTATTCTGGCAGTTTAGCTGAAAACTAACATTACATCCTAGGGATTTTATAAAAAAGTTTTTTGGAATGCAGAAGTATATCTAAAGACATGCAAGTATGAATGTATACAGCAAGCGACTGTGTTTTACAGAAAGAAAAACTTAGGTAGATTATATTGTTGTTTCATTTACATACCTAAAACTATTTAATGGTTGGTATTTGGTATTCACATCCCACTCACATATGCCTCCTTTGTTGTGCTTTCTCGGATTATAGAAGTATAATGGTACCTTATTTTATAGGTAGTACTCTTATCAATCTGTTCAGCTATGTGTTTTATGTTCTGTATATGGTGTGTAGTAAGTTAGTCTGGGAAGTAGTCCATTAGTAAGTCCATTCTGTAGACAGGTGAAAATTTTCTATTTTTTTTTTAGAAGTTATGCATACTCATTGAAAAATAACTAATAAACTTGGAAAAACACCAAAGCAAAATTAAGAAAGTGCATTACAGACCTGAGAATCATGTTAGTTAAATGTGAACTCTGAGTACAAATGTTACGTTCTTCAAACAGATTTACAAATGAGAAAATAATTTAAAATCATGAAGGTATTCTATTTTACATTAGGATAGTGAAGTATGCTCAATAACTGTTCATGTTCACTGTGAAGAAGGCACATAAAATTTTCATGGAGCTGAAGCTTGCTCATTCATTTTAATGACATGTATTATAGCAGGATGGCTTGTGTGATTTATGACATTTGACAGTTTTTCACACAAAAAAGTATGTATGCCTTTGTATATATCTTCTCTTCAGCTTTACTTTTTCATCCATACTTACAGAACCCGAAGGACTGCAGCAAAGCTAAGAAACTTGTGTGTAATATCAACAAAGGCTGCGGCTATGGTTGTCAACTTCATCATGTAGTCTACTGCTTCATGATCGCTTATGGCACTCAGCGAACACTCATTTTAGAGTCTCAGAATTGGCGCTATGCTACTGGTGGCTGGGAAACTGTCTTTAGGCCTGTAAGTGAGACATGTACTGACAGATCCGGTACCACCACTGGACACTGGTCAGGTAAGACTTAACTCAAAAAATTTCTCATAATTTTTTTTTTTTTTTTTTACAACTTCTCTCATGTACAACTGTTTTGATACTTCTTCCTTGGTTGTTATGTAGAACATAATAACTATGATTGCAATTGCATACATAAGCATCTTTTGAATTTTATTTATTCAGTGTATTAAAAAAATAATATACTTATTAAGACGCCTCTAGTGCTTTGGCAGAGATTTTTTTCTTAATTCAAGTTTTAGGTTTGAAATATAATCCTTCAGGAGTCTGCATCTGTGTTTTGGGCCAGGTATGAGTCCAATTTTTGTGGGAAGAGAATAGTAAATAGAGGCTATTGCTGGTAAACTATAGCATGTTTGAAATAAAAAGCAAAATAAATACAATACAAAATAAAAAAGATAATAGTAAAACAATAGGCATTCATATACACCCATACACACCCCAGATTGAAATAACTTCTAATATAAACCAAACTGACTTGAATTTCAAGTTGTAAAAGCAGTGGCAATGATAAAAACCTTTCTATTTGTAGATCAGTCATAGAATCATAAAATGGTTTGGGTTGGAAAGGACCTTAAGGATCATCTAGTTCACCCTTTCTGCCATGGGCAGGGATACATTCCACTAGACCAGGTTGTTCAAAGCCCCATCCAACCTGGCCTTAAACACTTCCTTGCTGAGAGTGCACTCAATCCCATGTTTGTATCATTGACAAAGGTATTAAATTGTACCAGTCCCAAGGCAGACTCCTGAGGGACACCACTCATCACAGGACATAGAGCCATTGACTACCACTCTCTGGGTGTGGCCTTCAAGCCAATTCCTTTTCCACTGAATGGTCCACCTTTCAAATCCATAGCTCTCCAATTTGGAGATGAAGATGGCATGTGACCGTGTTGAAGGTCTTAGAGGTTGAGGTAGATGACATCAGTCATTCTTCCCTTGTCAGCTGATTCAGTCTCACCATCATAGAAGGTCACCAGATTGGTCAGGCACCAAATACCCTTGGTGAAGCTGTGCTGGCTGTCTGGGATCACCTCCTTGTCTTGCATATGCCTTGACATTGCTTCCAGGAGGATCTTTTTCATGATCTTCCCATTTCAACCCTTTCCAAAATGGTGTTGATGTTTCTTTTTCCAGTCACTGGGGACTTCACCTGACTTCCAAGACTTTTCAAACATGATGGAGGGTGGCTTGGCAACTTCATCAGAGAGTTCTCTCAGGACCCTGAAATGCATGTCATTGGGCCCCATGGGCTTGTACCTGTTCAATTTCATCAGGTGATCTTAACTTGAACCTGATCTTTGATTACAGTGGAAGAGACTTTGCTCCTCCAGCCCTTGCCTAGAGGTTCAGGAGCTCAACAGATATCTTAGAGGTCTAAAATCAACATTTTTTAGTTTTTCAAAATGCAGTTTAAAGATAGCTGCTTAAACATAATTGTGTATTTTACACATCGAGACAGCATTTGTACCTTAGATCTGTTCCTCAAAACGTCAAGATGCTAAAAAACTTCAGCTAAAAAATCTAGTTGGAAATGAGATTTTTTTCCAGAAATTAGGTTTTAGAAATGGTTGAATATTTTCTAAAAATAAGTAGATTAAAAAGGAAAATGGATATTGAAAATTTCAGCTGAAGTTTTACTCATGCTTGGCAAAGTAAGCAACTGAAACAGCCATCTGGACATGGTCTTGGATAGCCTGCTCAACGTGACCCCAGAATTTAGTTAGAGGCAGTTTTTGTGAGCCTTGCATTTACTATAATAAGCTATAAACCAGTGGAGCACTTATGCACACACGGCTTAAAAAAACTACATATTTTCACAAAAATCTTGAAATAGATAATTATTTCCTGCAGTATGGGCTCTTGCTGATGAAAGTACAAATAATGTTTGCTTTTAGCTCTCTACAGATATTTTTAATTTAGTCTCTACATCAGGATAACTTGTTTGAAAGCTGAACATGATCTTGGTATGATCAGATTTTCTTCTAATTAATGAATGCCAGTAGTTTGAATTTCAGTGCTCTAGAGAGAGAAAACATTCAGCAAAGAAGACTCCATCTATGATCCCTACTAGCTAGCCACTAGCACTACAGAGTGTGTTAAATTCTGATCTGAAATGGCGTGATCACTGAGGAAGAATGTTACTGACAGTTGATCTGTTGTATTATTTCCAGTGTGGCTTCAGTATGAATCTGCAGAGAATACTTAATTGCCAGTAAATTTGAAAGATATTTTATCTTCCTGAGGTTTTCTATGTTTTTCTTGTCTCCCCAAATTGATATAGATTTTGCTCTCATTTTTCTTTTATCACCTGTCCTCTCAGTGTCTGAAATTCTAACCAAAATTAAAAGTTTTGTCTGCAGAACTGCACCTTTAACATTTTTTCTAACGTATTCTGAAATCAGCATGAGATTTCCAAGATGTTTACAATAAATATATAAAAATGCGTTAAAATTTATAATTATTTACATTTATTGTAAACAATATACTCCTACATACTGTACATACAATGCTTTGTATAGAAGATTTTAATAAAAGTTGTTTTTAATTATATATATATATAATTATTCAAGTGAATACTTGTAACAGGATATCAGTGTAAATTACAGAAATAGGCCAAAAAGTCAGAAAATATCATTTTAAAGAATTGCTTTCCTATAATTGCAAAAAGTGCATAGAATAATAATTGAGTAAATGGTGTTTCTTTCCTATAATGACAAAAATTGTTTAAATCTGTACATTTGCCTTTCTTCTTACCAATTATATAGACTCTTCTTATCAATTATATAGACTCTTCTTGACACTTATTTTAGTTGCACTATCAACATTGAGTTTTGAGGTTTCCAAAATCTATCCTGGGCAAAACAATTTAGATAGCAATCTCTTCTACACAGAATTAAGTGTTTAATATGGTCATTTGTTCCACCCCCCCCTGCTAAAAGTAGGGCCACCCAGAGCAGGTTTCCCAAGGCCATGACCAGACAGCTTCTGAGTATCTCCAAGCACGGAGACTCCACAGCTTCTCCGGGCAAGCTGTGCTTGTGTTCAGTCACATACACAGTAAAGAAGTGCTTCCTGATGTTCAGATGGAGCCTCTTGTGTTTGAGATTTTGCCCATTGCTTCTTTTCCTGTCACTGGGCCCCATGTGACACTGGGGTCTTTTCCTGTCACTGGGCTCTGAAAAGAGCCTGGCTCCAGCTTCTTCATCTTTACAGTCTCCCCTCAGGTATTTACATGTCGTGTCTCTCCCCCCCTCTTCATCATCTTCGTGACCCTTCAGTGGAGACTTTCTTGTAAGTCCATGTCTCTCTTGTAAGGGTAAAGATTAAGACTCTCTTGTAAGGATATTTTGAGCATGAATATTTTTAATTCCCACGTCATAATGTTCTGTTATCATTGCAACGTGCAGAAGAAAAAGAGTAGGCCTCATTTTTACTTGCTGATTTATGACAACTGGGTCATAATTTCCAATATTTCTCCAATAATTTCTCCATTCTCCAATAATACATTGAAGGAGGGCTATAAAAAAAACAAGTTAAAAAAAAATAAAGACGAAACAATACACTAAATGGGAAAAGAAAAGAGATTAAGGACAGGTCAGTATACAGTTAGACGTCATATCTGCATTACATGGTGGACAATGATATTTGCATGCGTAAATAACAGTATGTGCTTCCATAAAGTGCCAAGCCACTAAGATGAAAGGTATCTTGAAAAAGGAAATCTGAAACAAAGTTTCCTGTGGTAACATTTGAATATTGACTTTGCTGTTTCTAGTCTTGGTTTGATCAACAAATGTTTTTAAGGCAGGGCTGCCCAGAGGGCACAAAATGGCGGAGCTGTTCGTGTTCAGTACACATCCTTGAGTACTTTGTACAGTCTTGGGCCCCTCAGTTCGAGAAGGACATCGAGTCCCTGGAACATATCCAGAGAAGGGCTACAAAACCGGTGAAGGGCCGGGAACACAAGTCCTGTGAGGAGCGGCTGAGGGAACTGGGGGTGGGGGTTGGTCTGGAGAAGAGGAGGCTCAGGGGAGACCTTATTGCTCTCTACAGCTACCTGAGAGGAAGGTGTGGGGAGCTGGGGGTCAGCCTCTTCTCACAGGGGAGGCTTAGGTTAGGAATTAGGAGACATTCTTGTCAGAACAAGAGGTCAGGCATTGAAACAGGTTGCACAGGGGAGTAGTGGAGTCACTGTCCCTGGGGATGTTTTAAGGAAAGGTTGGACTTGGTGTTTAGGGACATGGTTTAGTGGGTAACATTGGTACATTGGTAGTAGGGTGATCGTTGGACCAGAAGATTTTGGAGGTCTTTTCTAACCCTAATGATTTTATGATTCTCTATGATTTGGAGGTAGTGACAGCTTTCAAGTATCGACTGACCTACAATTTTAAAATATAAATTAACTAATATGTTTATATATATAATTCAAGACAGAAGATACTGTGGGTACACAAAATTAATTTTTAATTTATTAAAGCCAACCAGGCAACAGTAATCAAAAGGACTAAATGAAAATTACAAACCCAAACCATAAAAAGTTACTGAGAATCTATTGCAATAAACAAACAAACAAAATTTTTATTCCATGAACTAGGTCTTCCTTGACAGTAATTTTCCTTGTATACAAATCTGATGAATATTTTATATTAAACTAAAAAAACTTTTGGACTTCTATACATCTGTATTAAGTATGTTTTGCTCCCATACTTCACTTGCAGAATCTTGCAAAATAAATTGATTCATGTCAATTCTAATTCTTAATACCTTTTTTATACACCAACTTCCATTATTTACATTTTTATTCAATCAAATTTATCTTTGGTATGTAGCATTCTGGAGTTTGGTGATTTGAGAGAACAGAGCAGAACAGCTCTGTCCTTTTTGTCCTTTTTAAATTTCTGCATTAATCCAACTGTCCTTTGTTTCAGTTGGATTAATGCAGAAATCAAGCTACTGATATATCACGGTTCTGTTTTTTTTTTTTTTTTTGTTATTGT